GGAAAATGAAGACAAATATGCAACAGAAACTGCAACTTGTGACTTCAACAGTTGCAAGTGATTCAGCCCAGGAACAGGCGGCAAGCAAACATTTTGCAGGTTATTTAAAATGCAAATTGTTCTTCTATAAATGCAGCGGCTGGAGCACAGGTAACATCTGATGTAAATGAGAGAACTACTTTAATCAAATGGTATGGTTAGAGAAAAGATAGAAGCAAAAGTACTGACTCTGTTTCTCTAAGTGCTTCACATTTCTGTCCCCATTACAGTTGTTCTCTAGGTTAGTGAAGGAATGAAAAAGCAGGTTATTTTAATGGCACCTCAGTATAAAACCAATTCTCTAACCACCACATTAAAAATTAAACAGCTTTGCATCTTTAATGCATACTTTCCTTTTTAAAGAGGGAATCAACACTTGTGTGGCAGTATATAAGTGTTTTTTCTGCAGCCATTGAGCAGCTGGAAAAAGATACAGGAAGCAGCAATGGAGAAAATATAGAATGAAAGAAAATATGTCAAAAAATAAAAACCAGAGAAAGTAGCATTTGTCACTTACTGGCAGGAAGTGACAAATCCTCAAAAACCGAGAAGGGCAACAGGGAGGCCTAAATGTTGTGTGTAAGAAACTACAAATAACAACACATCTTTGAAAACACCATCATTTTATCTCAATTGGATTTGCCAGTTTCTCATAATGAACCCAGCTCACTGTTAGCAGAATTTGTAGTTAAGCCAACAAAGAACATAGTCTAACATTGATATGGTCTCAATCCTGTCAACCTGTGTGACAATCCCTCTCTGTCAATCCCTCTGGATTCAGGAGTGTGCAGATAAAGTTACAGGGCGTTGTTCATGCAACATTATTCCAGGTAGTGCTGAAATACACCTTATACCCAAAAGCAGCTCTTTCTGATTTGGACAAACCACTGGAATCTCCTCCCTCCTCCCTGTCCCAAATGTCTTTCACTGCCGTAACTTTTTAAGTAGACACAGAAAAAGGTAGAGCAAAAAATGATACAGCAACTGGCTCATAGAGTTGTTTTTGCTTGCAGCCTCTGGCCCCGCAAGTTAAATCTACTTGCTCCTATGTGACTAAGCAAGTTTTCATTCCCTCTCTCCTCATCAGGCAGGCACAGCCTGTACACTTGAGCCTCCCCAAGCACATGGTCCGCTTCATCTTGAGACTCCCTGAGGAGCAAACATAAGAGGACATTGTGGTCCATTTTAGACTCAAACACGCAGTGCACTGCCTTACTTGTGCTGCAGGAGAAGAGGTCCCTCAGTGCATTCTGGAGCTTCCCTGATGGTGGTGTAATTCTGTGCAGTAGTGTGAGTGCATCCAACACATCTACATCACCAGGGATGTATATGCCTACAACCTTGTTCTAGTCAATACAGCAGGGCTGATTTGCAACCAGGTAAGCACACATTTTCAAAATGAACTCAGCCCTATGGAGACCAGAATTTCACTTTCCTTACTGCCTTACCTCAGGAAACAGACTGAGTAAAGCACAGCCCAGGCACTTTGGCCACTTTCAAATATCTGCACTGTAAACTAGGGCCCTCACTTCCTACAGCAAAGCTGCTCTGAATCCTGCAGGAAGCCTACTCTGTCCTGAAAGTCCAGCTTCCACACCCAAATCATCCCGTGTGCACTTCCAGTAGTTACCTCCTGAAGGACGACAGTGGGATACTGACTTACACTTTTTTTTTGCCTCACCTACTAATGAATATCAAGAAACAGATGAAAGTGCATGGGGTAAAATCCTAACACGCAGTTGAAGTGTAATGTGTGAAGCGGCAGGACGAGAAGTTTTGATGACCCGGCTATACACCCTGAAGCTTTCCGAGGACTTTTCTGCCCTTGCAGTCAAAGTAGCTTTGTCAAACGGGTGGGTATCCATGGTGTTAACAGGAGTCATTTAGGTGTGACAACACGGGTATAATAACCCAGGAACTTTTCGAACACCATCTCAAGGAGTAGATTAAGCACCACGTAAACCAGAGATGCACACTTTGGCCACCAAGTCCTGGGTCTGGGAGAGCTGGGCAGGGTGTGGAGGAGGATGTTTTTTCCTAAATTCTTCAGTTCAGCTCGGCTCGGAGGTCTCTCCCTCCCTCCCTCCCTCCCTCCCTCTTACCTGAGCCGCCCACGACGGACCGCAGCAGACAGGTTCTCCGGGAGGAGGAGAAGGAGGAGATGTCGCTTTGGGAGCGGCCGCGGGGACCGGGTAAGGACCAGACAGGCAGCAGTGCTGCCCCGTTGCTCCCCGGCCTCTCAGCCATCGCCGACGGGGAGCCGAGAGCAGCAGGGAGGAGAGAAGAGGAGGGAGAGAGGCGGCGAGGGAGGGGACAGGGAAAGTTTGTAGACGAAGAGCCGCCTCCCTCCTCCGACCGCCCCGCCGGGACGCCGTCGACCTTCTGGGTCTGTGGGAACATAAAATTTGTGTTTGCACGGGAGCAAAGCAAAGTGGAGGGGTAGGTGCGCGGATGCACTCATCCCCCGGGGTGTCTTCATGCTCCTCGCTCCCGTCATTTCCAACTCTCGGGGGAAAAAAAAAAAAAAAAAAGAAAAAAAATTAAAAGAGCCAAGCAAACCACAGTACTTCTGTTTTGTGTAACAGGGTGCCCTCCCTCTCCTCCCCCTCAGCAAAACCAGGAGGTTACACAAGGCATCGCACCCTTCCAGAAGAGCAGGGAGGGCAATGAGTCAAATATCTCCCCCCCACCCCCCATCTTTCTTAAAGATTGGGTTGCACGCAAGAGACTTTACTCAGCTCTTGGAGGAAGGTACTCTCCTGCCTTTCAGATCAGTCACACAGACTTAGGCAGAAGCAAAATCAAGTTCCGTACTTTCATTTTCCGGTGTTTTACAGAAACACTTTTACAACATGATGCATCTTTAAAAGGATATTTATACTGGTTTTTACAGGCAAATCATATTATATTCTACCTTGAATAAAATCATTGCTGCCCCGAAGCCACAATGGCAAACACAGACAGGACTGCACCCTATATTTTTAATGCATCCAGTGCTGCATTATCCAGCTATCTAACATGAAAGTTGCATTCAGTATGTATTAAAACAACTATCACAACTACCAACTACCAATCCCCAGGTCTGAATAAAAACCTATCAACTTGTCCATGTGAAATTCAGTTTCTAGTTTCTGCTTCCACCCAAGCAAGCAAGCGCCTTCCTCTCAACGCTGAGTCTCACACAGCTCCCCAGGCACAGTGGTTTTGCGGTCTTCCCAGCAGTCACACTATGCAGGCACCCTTCCCATTGCCCAAGCAATCGATCCAGTACATGAGTCTCATATGTCAGCCATTAGTCGGGTCAAAAGGTCTCTTCTGCTCAGCATCTCCCAGGGAATTGCCTTCATTATTCCCTCTCCTTCCCTCTGCTGACAGACCAGCTTGCTCCTTCCTTAGCCACAGAACTTTCCCTGCGGGACTGTGCTGTGAGAGGGAGACGCAGGGACTTCTCCTGGCAGAGCACAGCAGTGAGCTCCCTGCTTACAGATGCTCCCATGGGGGCCCAGAGGCTCCAGCGTCACACAGGCAGGCACACTGTACCCAGGCTTAGAGAGCTTTTTGCAGCTGCTGACACCAGTCTTGTGTTATTCACTAAATCTTACAATGTGCTATTTTTATTATTTACCCTTTGCAGCTTGCATCATTGCAGATGTGACTGTACACTGAGGACTTTCCCCCACTGGAGATTTCAGTAGCTGGGAATGTGTGGGCTAATGACATTTTCTGAACCTTAATCAGAAGTGTTCTCATGGCTGCTATTTACTGTTGGCAGGTCAGTGAGCTTTGGGACAGACACCTGAGCTTTTTTAAAATATTTTTTCCTTCCAGACATTTTGAGCCACAGAGCAGTTGTAACTTTGTCATGCTGTTCAGAATGTATGCTTGAAAAATACATTAAGGGGATGCTCAGTGTCTGCAATCCTTTGCTGTGATCAAAAAGGAGAACATGAAGAAACTGAAGGATAAACTAGGAAAGATACCATAGCAAGAGGTCAAGGCATCTAAAGATTCTTTTCGAGAGGCAAAGGGACATCTAAAGGGGTGAAGGTAAAAGAAGACATAAAGTCGGTCAACACTGAATGTAAAAGAGATACGAAGAGGCTCCTATTATAATATCAAAGTGCTTTTGTAAATCAGAGAAATGTGAACAGTCAGTCAGGAAGAATACTACCACGGAAGTCAAAATGGTTTTTGCCTGCCTGTAACTTAATACATTCATCAAGGTATATGAATAAAAATATTACAAAATCATGTACATTCTATTTTCATCGCCCTTTAAATATTTTTTTAAGTAGATATAACAACTGTGGTTAATAGCTCTGTTTCCATAGAACAGCAGTAAAGTATATATCCCTCCCAGTTGGAGAGAGATTAAGTTAGTTGCCTGGTCATTCATTTTCAACTGCTCTGATGACATTGCCAAAGAAATTTCCACTCGTATTTACTGATTAAACCAAATTATTTTACAAAGGCTGTCCCATGATGTCTGGCGGCTGAAGCAAAAATACAGAATTCGGGCATTAGGAAAGACTGGATAAACACCAGCCCTGGCAACAAATTGGCTGGAAGATGCATCTTTTAAAGCACGTGCCTGCCACCCGTGATCC